CGTTCGGGCCTCCCGCTCAGAGCAGAGACGGCTCCCGGGATGCGGAACCTACGAGGAGGGAGGGCTGGTGGGCACGGCTCTGGGTCCCCGTGCTGCTGGGGACACGGGGCAGCGTGGCACGAGGGTGCCGGTGGCTGTAGCGTGGCATTCCCTGCCTTCGTTTCTGTGAAGGATGTCTTAAGCCCTGCTCCGTTGCCATACTGCCTGCCTTTCCCTTCTCATGTCCTTCCCGCTCCCGTCCCCTCCGGTTTGTCCCGCCTGCGTCCTTGCTCTTGCCCGGTGTACAGGAAGGAGTCTGTGTCCCTCTTGCTGGTGTTTGTGCCCATCTCCTGACCTCCTGTGTCTCTCCCTGCTCCCAGATGAGCGTTGGTCAGCGGGCAAAGATGACCATCTCCCCAGATTACGCCTACGGCTCTACCGGGCACCCAGGGATCATCCCACCAAACGCCACTCTAATTTTTGACGTGGAGCTCATGAAATTGGAATGACCTACCCCAGCACCCTCTCCTCGGGTGAGGAGGGGCAGCTGCTGGCAGGGGGGGTTGGGGCTCGGGAGAGACTCGAGGCCCCATCTTTTGTCTCGGGGAAGTGTGGGATGGACGTGCTGGCAACGGGATGAGAGGGTAGGGCAGGTGCTGGTGTGTAGCACGGGCAGGATGGGGCTGGGGTCTGTGGGTGCTGCGGTGTGACCAGGAGGGTTGGGGTCTGTGGGTGGTGCGGAGTGGGCAGGATGGCGTTGTGCTCTGGGGTCTGCGTGTCCTGGGGTGTGAGCAGGATGGGGCTGGGGTCTGTGGGTGCTGCGGTGCCAGCAGGATGGAGCTGGGGTCTGTGGGTGCTGCGGTGCCAGCAGGATGGGGTTGGGGTCTGTGGGTGCTGCGGAGTGGGCAGGATGGCGTTGTGCTCTGGGGTCTGCGTGTCCTGGGGTGTGAGCAGGATGGGGCTGGGGTCTGTGGGCCCTGTGGTCCGGGCAGGATGGGGCTGTGCTTTGGGGTCTGTGGGTGCTGTGGAGTGGGCAGGATGGGGCCATGGTCTGGGGTCTGGGGGTCCTGCTGTGCCAGCAGGATGGGCCTGGGGTCTTCGGGTCCTGCTCTGTGGGCAGGATGGGTCTCGGGGTCCTGCTGTGCCGGCAGGATGGGGCTGGGGTCTGGGGGCGCTGTGGTGTGGGCAGGATGGGGCCATAGTTTGGGGTCTGGGGGTCCTGCTGCGCCAGCAGGCTGGGGCTGGGGGCCCTGGGCAGGATGGGGCCGTGCTCCCACTCCCTAATCGGGGCTTGAGTTCTGCTTCGAGCGAGGGATGCAGTTTGCGATGAGACCACCCTCCCTCGTCCCTCCTCCGCCGCCTTCCCCCGCGGGCAGCGAGCGGGTGGGCAGGCAGCGGGTGGGCAGCGTGCAGGCAGCTTTGTCACACCCCTCCCCTCTCTCCCAGCAGGTTTGGCACATGGAGGAATCCAGAATCTCAGCTTCAAGAAGAGTGCACATGACTTTGTACGGAGCTTTTCCCGATCCACTACACTCATTGTCTAACCTCGGCTGAACGCCTCTGGTCACTAAGCTTTGCCTCTGACTCTTCCTCCTCGTATCGTGTTTTTATGTCTTTTTAAACTTACACGCCGTAAACCTCAACTCCCTTCTGGGTGAAGTCCTTCAGCCTTGTTTTTGTTCCGGGCGTAGACCGCGTTTTACCCGTAGCACGCAGCTGGGCAGGAGTCGTTTTTGAACAAGAGGAAACCCCTTAGTTACTCGGTTCGGT